GTGGTCTGCGGTTGTGAGGCTGGTTGGATGTACTGCCAAATTCTCTGAAACGCCTTTGGAAACTGCTTATGGTAGAGAAATGACCATTCAATTCACGGGCAACAGCTCTGGTGGACATTCCTGCAGTCAGCATGCCAATTGCACACTCCCTCAAAACTTGCGGCATCTGTGGCATTGTGCTGTGTGATAAAACTGCACATTTTAGAGTGGCCTTTTATTGTGGCCAGCCTGAGGCACACCTGTGCAATAATCACGCTGTCTAATCAGCATCCTGATGTGCCATGCCTGTGAGGTGGATGGATTATCTCGGCAAAGGAGAAGTGCTCACTAACACAGATTTAGACAGATTTGTGAACAATATTTGAGAGAAATAGGCCTTTTGTGTACATAGAAAAAGTCTTAGATCTTTGAGTTCAGCTCATGAAAAATGGGGGCAAAAACAAAAGTGTTGCATTTATATTTTTGTTCAGTGTATATGTATGCGGCCAAAGTTTGGATTAATTTTAATCACTGATTTGATCGAAAATACAGTAAAAACAGTGAAATATTATTACGATCTAAAACAGATGTTGTCTATGTGAATATCTGTTAAACTGTAATATATTTCTGTGATGTGCAGCTGTATTTTCAGCATCATTCCTCCAGTCTTCAGTGTCACATGATCTTCAGAAATCAGTATAATATGCTGATCTGCTGCTCGAGAAACATTTCTGATTATTATCAGTGTTGAAAACATTGTTGAAGCACACTATTTGTGTGAAAACTGTGATACGTTTTATTTTTCAGGATTCACAGATGAATAGAAAGTTCAGAATAACAGCATTTATTTGAAATATAAATCTTTTGTAGCATTTTAAATGATTTTTACTGTCACTTTTGATCAATTTTAATGCATCTGAAAAAAACTTTTTTTTTCTGAATGTCAGTGTATCAAGGTATCCACAAAAATATGCAGCAGGGTGTCACACTGATCTGTGATGTTGTTTTATTAAGGAGGAAGAGGAGGCCAGTCCTGATGTAGAAGACTCAACCAAAGCAGAAAGTGAAGCGGCCCAAAACACAGAAGAATCACCGTGTGACGAAGAAGAGAAGAAAGCAGAGGATGAGAGAGAGGAAGAGAAGAAAGCACAGGACGAGAAAGAGGAAGAGAAGAAAGCACAGGACGAGAGAGAGGAAGAGAAGAAAGCA